AAAAAAAAAAAAAAAAAAAAAAAAAAAAACCACACTACCTAACTGTCCAGACCTATCTAGTATAATATATGGTCAAAATCCATGTTGACAGAATCTCTGGCTAAGCCTTGGCAGGCAAGAGAGGAAAAATGTGTCTGGGCATACCTTGTTTCCACTGGACTGTCACAAGCATGGAAGCATGAGCAAGGTTTGTATTGTAAGGATGACTGAGGAGTGAGCCAACTGAAGGTAAGGGGGTGAGAAGAGCAAGCAGTTGGTATTCATAAGTACAACTGTCTTTCCCTTTGCTTCCACAGGCCAACATTCCCCATTATCTCTGCTGACAGAGGTATGTAACATTCCAATTAGACAGACAAACCATAACTTAACGATAAAAAAACAATACTTTTGAGACACAGAAATGGAAAGTGTTTTCACAATGAACACATCTAACTGCTGTGGGATGTCCTTCTGAACGCTGTGAATAGGTGTTGTTCTGACTGGTTGATAAAGCTGTTTGGCCAATGGTGAGGCAGAATAAGGTTTGGTGGGACATTCAAACTGAAGAGACGGGAGAAGAAAGGAGAGTGAGAAGAAATGCAGCCCACCACTGAAGGAGCAACACGATGCCAGCAGACTGGTAACACCACATGGCAACATAGAGATTAATAGAAATGGGTTGAGTTAAGTTATAAGAGCTAGCTAACAAGAAGCCTGAGGCATCGGGCCATACAGTTTGTAAATAATATAAGCCTCTGTGTGTTTACTTGGGACCAAGAGGCTGAGGGACACGGGTGAGAGAGAATCGTCCCAACAGTGGGGCCTGGCAGGACCAGAGAAATTTCTGGCTACATCTAATCACCCAACAACTTCATCAGGTGGGTACTCTTATTTCCAACTCATACATAAAGCTCAGGTGCACTCTAAGTTGAGATGTATTACACTGTTTTTCAATGTAGAGTCAGAAAAATATGGTTATTCTGACTATCCCAACACTAGAACTCTCTTCCTGGGAGTAGGACAGGGGATGGATGGCTGTCTGAGCCAGGCATGATGGCATATTCCTGAAATCACAGCAGAAGCTGGAGGATTTTAGTTTGAGGCCAGCCTGGGCTACAGAATGAGATCCTGTACCTTGTCTCAGAACAACCAACCAACCAACCCTGTCTAAATGCAACTGTGTCCCTCTTCCTATCAGAAAGTTGCTACAAATCACACTATCCCACCACATCATCAGCTGCACATCAGCAAGGTATCTGGTATCCATAGTGACTAAGCAGGGGTAGGAAATCAGAACATTAAATAAACACTACTTTTTTTTTTAGCTCTACGTTTTTTCAAAGCACTATGTACTGTCACAGATAGTATGGGGCCCAGACGTTAGCAAATAAGAAAGACAAAAAAAAATACAATTTTTTTTGAAATATATATATTTTATGTGGTTAAGATATTATCATAGCAAATGGCCACACTTTGGGTTGTCTGTGCCAGTGCTCTGCAGGCACCTACAGAGGACTGACAGATGGACACACACACACAAACAAGCAAACTAAACTGATCCTCATGGCACATGGCCAAATGCCTTATTTTCTTTTGGGACTCTGTGTACAAAGCATGCCGGGCTGTTTCTACAGCCATAGATGACAGCCCAATAAAATAAAAAGTAATGATTAACTTTTGCTCCCTAGAGGCCACTGAGTAAGAAAAAGATATTTCCTGAATAACCTGTGCATAGAGACAGCTGACTTTCCCAAGCTCCCTGAGGCAGTTTTAAAACTATTTGCTATAGGCTAGTCTTGGAGGTCAGATTCTGGGTTGAAATGTTTACATAGGGTCTTGGGGTTAAAACTCTCCATGAAGATGTCTGTTTCCAACTTTCCTTCTGATACACCTGGAGTCTGGACAGAGACCGAAGTCTTCCAGGTCTACATATCTGGAACTGGCATTTCTGTGGGATTAATGATTATACGCCAGGGCTTTTGCCAAACACTAAAGATATACAAGCCATTAGGGAAGAAAGGCAAACGAATTAGGCCCTCAAAGAGACATAGCAATTGATCAAACCAAGCAAGAGCCTCTCCAGCTGCAAGAATTGCAGGGCACAAATCCCAGAAAGGGTTCCCTAGAGACCTGTCAATTCAAACGGCAGTGGGTGCTAAACAACTTCCAACCCACTCACAGCATAGGGAAACAAAAATCTGGAGTTCACAGCCCTCCAAGGAGTCTCCATGGTAAATCCCCTGTCTCTCAGCTGGTACCTTGAGGAACCAAGGTGAACTGGCACTGGGCTTGAGAGACACCAAAGCTAAGATTCAGACATTCCAGTTCCTAACTGGATTAGGCTAACAGGACACAGGGGCAAAAGGAAAGACTCTCCAGAGAAAGACTGCACCAGCTGGACCTCAAAAGCTTGCCACAGCTTTCCACACACAATGACTGGTATTCAATCAAAAATAACAATGTACCTGTGAAAACAAGATGTGGCCAAAAAACAAGGATAAAAGGAATGCATAAACATGATAGCCAAATGTTTCCTAACAGGTGGACACACTGGAAAATGATGGGGGGTGGGGGCTAGAGAAACAGCTCATCCATTAAGAGCACTGCTGCTCTTCCAGAGGACCCGTGTTCAATTTCCAGCACCCACATGGCAGCTTTCAACAGTCTCTACCTCCAGGTCCAGAGAATCTGATGCCTTCTTCTGACCTCCATGTGCACAAAACACACACATGGTCCACACACAAAAATGCAGGCAAAGTGCATGCACACATAAAGTAAAATTTTTTAATAAAATAAATATTTTAAATGACTGAGAAAACAGAGTAAAAATAGCACTAAACATGAAGCAGGGCAGCTGAAATGTGAAATACCGACAACACCAAGTTCTGATAAGGACAACTTTGGTTCTTTCATCTTCTTTCTTTGGTTAGAAAGAGAGAAAGGCAGCTGTATAGGTAGGTTCTTGTTATGTTGTTTTCTAAACTTTCTGGACTTCTGTAACATCTCATAGTTAAGAGTTTTAAAAAGAACTGAAAGGTGAGTCTGCAGAAGGGATCAGCAAAAGCTAAATCATTTTCGGCTTTCAGTCATATTCAAATGTTACCCTTTCTTTATTGTACAAACAGTAAGGAGCCATTCAAACCCAGGTATACTGGTACAAAGCTGAAATTCCAGCAGCGCACTAGAGGCAAAGGCATGAGGATTCTGAGTTCCAGGCCAGCCTGGGCTATATAGTGAGCTCTAAGCCAGCCTGGGCTATGCAACAAGACTACAACTCAAAAAAAGAAAAAAGAAAGGAGGGAGGGAGGAAGAGAGAGAGGGAGGGACGGATGGACGGACGGACGGAGGGACACATGTGTGAATTTAAATGGAAAAGGGGCAGTATTAGATTTTTTTCTGCACAAAGACCATAGATTCAAGAGACGAAGTAACTGATGAAACAATGACGACTGCTCATCTACTGGATAAAGAAAGCTGTAAAGAACTCAATGACGGCATCAATGATTTGGGGTTTAGTTCTCAAAATGATGAGTTGCAACCCATCAAATCAGAAAGCAAATGAGGCCACTGTGACAAAGATGAAATCTAAATGGAACAATTTCATTGGAATAAGGGTGACATCCAGGAAATAGCCTGTGACCGGTGAAAGGGAAATGTGTATTTTCCTACAAATCCTTAGAAGAAAGTCAAGCCTATAAAAGTGAAAGCTAATGAGTGCTCAGCTCAACACCAGATGGTCAGATAGATACATTCACAATGTGCCAAAATTCTGGAGCCTTGCACAGCCCCTTCCAAGCATGCAGATGCTTTAATCTGACAGGGAAAAATCTATTTCTGCCTGTGACAGCAAATGCCAAGTCACGTCTTGCCAGGGGAGAGAGTGGCCGCTGCCAACCACAGCCTCCCCAAGTATGCACACTTGTATCCTCACTTAGAGACACAGGTTGTTTGACCACTCCTTCCACCAGCCCTGGCACAAAGAAAGGAGGACAGAGTTTCTAAAGAACTCAGTTTTTTCATCTGCATTCCCAAAGGTAGATACATATCTCTAGGTTATTCATGAACAGTTCATGTTCATCTGTGAAAACAAAATTAAGCATCTCAAACAGAAACTTATCTGCACATTCTGAAAACGGCCTGAGGCATGGAGTCCGACAGATTTCTCAGGGACTCTAAACTGGCTAACCTTCCACTGAGAAGCAACTAAAGAATTAATGCTCTTCATCTCTGTCGTCTGTGCACTGCAGAGGGTAAGCATAGAGCATTACCAGTGGGACTGCTTTTAATACTGTTCTTTGGCCAGAGTGATGATGCCTGTTTGCTAGAGATGGAATTATTACATATTCCACCCCCAGTGTGTTCAAAGACAAGAAGTATTCAAAGATGTTCTTTGTAAAGGAGGCACTGTCCAAACACATGTTCATTTTAAATCACAATTTGTAAGTATGGTACTGGAGAGATTGATTTTAAAGGCAGAGAACTTGCATCCAACAATCTTTACAAAGCAGAGTAAGGAAAACTCAGAGGGACAGGGTGGTCTCCTATTCCCGAAGAATATGGTACAGTCTCCTGTCACACAAACGGGTTCATGAACAACCAGTAAGTGACTCGAGTTCCTGACTCGACAGCTACCCATTCTCATTTTCTCCAAATAATGCTGCTGCATCAAAATTTGAACCCATCAAAACCCAGGCAAAGAGTTTCATGAAAATATCATCTACTAGAACTTAACAGTTAATATTAAAACACAAAGAATTTATATATCATATATACTTTGCTCAACTTTATGAGATGGAGCATAGGTAAATGCTCCCAAATAGTTATCATTATCACAATCCAGTGGCATAGAAAACAAGACATTTTTATACAGCAGTCTAAAGCTGAAACAAAACCCATGCACTTGGTATTCTTCAGGGAAATGTGTGCATTGTGTCAAAATAAACACATGAAATCCTTGCTGCTCTGCTTAGAGGGCAGGTGTCACCCCATCAAGGTACAAGCCCACTCGACAAGATACTCACTGGGTTGAGTGTTTCCTCAACAGAATGGTGAACGGTCCACCAGTCTGAGGTCCACTCCCACGCGTTCCCCACTATGTTGTACAAGCCATAGCCATTGGGAGGAAAGGCATCAACCTAAAAATAAAGAGGGAAAACACTGACCAATTACTCAGCTTGCTTGGTACATGAATGTACCAAGACCTAGTTTTTTCAGAATATGAATATTGATTTTCATCCCCATCTGTCAAAAACCAGTCTGAACAAGAAAAACAAAAAGCCCCTGTTTTGTTTTTTACTTTAATCACTCAAGGAATTTAGAAACCCAAAGAGCTTTATTAATGAATGGCCCAGAACTGGCGAAGTTATTTTTAATAGTGACTAACACAAGCTATAAGTATTAAGACTTTATTAGTATGAGAGAGAGAGAGAGAGAGAGAGAGAGAGAGAGAGAGAGAGAGAGAGAGAGAGAGAACAAGAACAGACAAACAGTATTTAGGCCTCCAAAACCATTAACAGGAATATCCTACTATATAAGTATCAATATAAGCTTTGTCACTTAAAATCAGCTTCTGGGGCCACCTAGTGTCTTTCAGCACCATAGATACCACATCAGCTCCACCCTCTCAAGCTCTCTCCAAACTGACTACCTTATCTTTTAGCCTTAATCACTGTCATTAAATAAGGAAGACATTAACTCATTATCCCATGTGTTTCTAATGGCAGGTCTCTGGGATGCAGCAGTCTGAAGCAAATTAAACATTCACCAAGAAATCACAGCACGAATCAGAGGCAGGTCAGACAGTACTGGGTACCACCTACGGACATGGAAGCAAAGTGCAGTTTATGTAAGACAGAACGCAAGAGGGGAAACATGGACTGAACAATAGTAAATTCAGGTCACTGGATAGTTCATGACTTAAAAATTCTCCCAGCCAGGATTGAGGGTTTAGCTCAGTGGCAGAGTGCTTATTTGTGAGGCCCTAGGTTTGGTCCCCACAATAGAAAGGGGATATCATAAAAAGGCAAAGGCATACATGAAAAAAAGCAAAAAACAAAAAAATCTTGGGGGAAAACTTCTATCCCTTCTTTTCAATAGACATTTTTAAAAAAACCAGTTTGTGATGCAAAAAAGTGGTTATCTTTGGGATTTTTTCCTCTCTTCTCATAATTCATGCTTTTCCACACTAACGAAGTAAGATGGTAAGAATGAATAAACTAACATTCATTTCTATGTGGCTTCAGATGGTTTTACATCTACACATGAATACGGAAGCATCTGCTGCTTGGGCAATTCGGAGCATTTCAATCAAAGTTATGAAGCCACGCTGAAAAGAAGTTCAGTGAGATGAGCTGGAAAGCCGAAAAAACCCCACCATGCTGCTTCCATAATCAACGTTTACTATGGAAACAGCCCTGCTTGTGCCTTGGCTCATTGAGAAATGCCATGTGTGGCCAGTACGGGCAGGGAGGGGCTCGGTGGCAAATGAGATCTTCAAGAGTTTAATGAGAGGGGGGGAAAAGAGAGAGAATGCCTCAAACTAAAACTCCAGCTCTGAAGAGCTGGGCATGACAGGCATGAAGGCAATCAATCCTGCCACTAGGGAGGCCGAAACAGGATCCAGGCCATCCTGGGCTACATAGTGAGTTTGAGGCCAACCTGGGCCACATTAGAGTCTCTCTCTCTCTCTCTCTCTCTCTCTCTCTCTCTCTCTCTCTCTCTCTCTCTCTCTCTCTCTGTTTTTTTTTTTTTAAATACAGCTCTACAAAGCCTATTGGAACAAAGAAAGTAAAATGATAGAAACTGCCAGAGAAATTCCAAGGACCAAACTCCGATGGGGTGATCTGAGCACACCCTGGAATAGAGCCTTGCGATCCAAATATAAGAGGCAAGAGGGAGAGAAGGCCACAACATGAGCTATTTGTTCAAGAACGTGGAGGTGACTGAAATGGAAGGAAGAAAAAAGAGAGGAGTCGAGACAGCTGTGGGAGGAAAGTGGAAGATGCCGTGGTACAGGGGGAATAAGAAACAGATATCCACATTCTGGAGGAAGGAATCCATCTTCAGGATCCTGAAGATACAGACAGAGGTGCTGTCAAGAATCCGTCCCAACCTTCATGAGTGCTGCTGTTCCTCACCTGGAAAGTAACAGCGTCTGATCAAAGGTTTGCAGCCCCCTCTTAAATAACAGGATATTTGGGGTAAACTTTAGAGGTTACCACCCTCTTAATTACCAAGATATTATATGGGAAATGAAATTTTCACAGCTCATGGTCATATGAATCACACTAACCAAAGCTTCCTTCCAAGAACCTCAGATGAAATCAAATGGAAGAGATAAATCCTGCTTGAAATGCCAATTTTCAGGCACCTGTGTCGGTAAGAATTAAAACAAAAATGAATTAATGGCGGTGGGACAGTGACCCAGCAGAATATCCATCCAGCTCCTTCAGTTCACAGTGGTGAGCAATCGGAGAGCGGGGGCAGGGAGGAGGACTGGGAGGTTCATGCTAGCCTGACCCTGTCTTAAAAATACAGACAAACAAACAAGTTAAATTCCTGTCCTCGACTTCCCAGAGCATGCAGACAGTAAAGGACCATTCAGGGCAATCCAAGGTCATCTTTGTATGTGTCAACTCAACTTAAAGACTGAGGCTTCCCTCAGCCTTGGTTAAGTCTTGTTTCTAGAATGAGTTCCATCAGAACTCCTGGAAACTGGAACAATTTGATCTTGGTAACTCCAGGGGCAATGTCTTCACGGAAGGTCTGTAGAGACCCGCTGAACTCCGGGGGCAATGTCTTCACGGAAGGTCTGTAGAGACCCACTGACCTCTCTGTCAAACACTAACACTAAACAAGGGGAAAGTAAAGCAGGAGTTTGTGTAGCTTAGTGCTAGGCTAATCCTAGGTTCAATCCATAGTACCACAATAAAGGTAAAATAAACATCTGCAAAGCATCCTCCTCTCCCTCTCCCTGTGTGTGTGTGTGTGCGCGTGCGTGCGTGCGTGCGTGTGTGTGTGTGTGTGTGTGTGTGTGTGTACAGGCCCTCTGAGCTTTGTTGTTTACAAAGGTACCCAGAAATGGATCAATTCTTTTTTTTCAGCTCATCTAATTAAATGCACATACAATACTGTGGTGGTAAATATAGGAAATACCCATAACTGTCCAAATAAGCTTTATTGTGGCCTTTTACTAAAATTGACTAGTGCTTACATTACTGATTTGGTTCATTACAGTTACCATAGACTTCTTCAAACAACAGAGATAATGTTGGCTGTTTCCTGTGCCTCTGGAATGGAACCTGTCCATCTCTTAGGACAAAATGATCCTGTTCAAGAGCTGAGCATGTGGACACTTCTGTACTTTGGCCTTCACAGCTCTCATTCAAATGCTGTTACTATAACAACTGAGGTCTGTCGCCACAGCTCCATCTGAGCCATGCCCTGGACTCAGGGTTTATTGTAGCTGCTGCAGGTGCCACACATGCTTTGAGAGAGGCCCCTCCTGCCAAGGTCTCCCTTCCTGCCAGGCTCTTTCATGTGTTCACATCCAAAAAGGTTGGAAATGAGTTTGAGACAAGCAGTGTTATGCAATTTCAGGGCTACCTGCACCTATAGGTGAAGCTTCTGCCCTGTTCTTGCTAACAGCCAGCATCTTTTTATTACATCTGTGTGTGTGGTGTGCGTGTGCGTGTGCGTGTGTGTGTGTGTGTGTGTGTGTGTGTGTGTGTGTGTGTGTGTGTGTACCCATGCACCACAGTGTGCACGTGAAGTAGAAGACAACCAATGGGGTCTACATCCTTCAAACAGATGGGTCCCAGGGATCAAACTCAGATCATCAAGCTAGGCGGCAAGCATCTTTACCCACTGAGCCATCTCACTGGCCCAGACAACCAACACCTTCCCTGGAGTTTGATGCACACTCAGCTCAGGCACCGCCACAGACATTTAGCTCCTACACCACCACTTCTGGTCGAGAGGCCTACTAGAAGTCCTCATTCTGTACCCTACTCTGTACCAGAAGTCTTTGCTAAGCCTAAAGAAAGGTAGAAATCATTGCCTCCCTAAGACCGTAAATGTTTTGCCAAATAAAACTCTGTATCTGGGAGAGGAGCAGCTATCCTGAAGAAAGTTGAGGAGGAACCAGCTACCAGATGGCTTGATTTGCCTTTTCTGCCTCTATTGAATAATGCATCATCTCCCATCAGTTTGTGTTGGCTTAACATATATGTAACTCACATACATGGAATGGATACAAACACAATGCATCACGTGCTTGCACAGGGCTAAGTGTCCTCAGGCAACTTGGTTTTTAACCTAATTGTGCTCCAAACACTGCGGTGCCTAACAATAGCTCAAACTGCTTTTCAGTTTCTTTTAGATCAGGTGCCTCTTCACTCTTTCTTTTCCAAGACGTTTTTCATCTTTTACTCTCACTTAGTTAGTCTTCAAGCTGAAATTTTTTAACCATTTGGTCATATTCCAAATAACATATCTGTGTCAAATGTATAAATAGACTTTGCAGGAAGATTTTCTTGAGGAAAAAAATGCAAATTAAAAAAAAAACAGAAAAAGAAGAAACTGTTTGAAAGACTCCAAGAACATTTCTTCCTAACAAACCCTGTTATGGGCTATTTCTCCATCATAAAACTCCTTTCCTCATTATGTTAAGAGAAAGTAGAAAGTTTTTATCTGGTCGGAAGAATGGTACCCCCTCAAAACTTCTACTGAAACTTAGTCATCAATTCAACAGAACTAAGAGAGTGGCCTTGGGGAGAGGGGGGTTGACCAAAGAATGATTTGGTATGATGAGTACTTTTATAGACGGGCTCAAAGTTGAATGGGCGATGCTATGGCTCTGGCCATAGGAGGACACAGTGCTCCTTGGTCCCTTCAAAGAGATGCCTATCTTACTGAGGCCTCCATCTTAGACTTCCCAGTTTCCAGATCTGTGGGACATGTTTCTGTTTATCAATGACCTTGTCTACGGCATTTTGTTATAGCAGCACAAATTAAGTAGGACAGTTTTTAAAAAGAGTTTGATTATATATTGTCGGTAAGAGCTCCATGAAAAAGGAACTCCTCTCCATCAATAAAAGGAAACATGCCATGGGCACTACTGAACACCATTTAACCAAGGTTGGGAGTGTAGCTCAGAGGTCGAACACATGCTTTGCCACAGGCAAGGTATGGGGTTTGATTCCTGGTGGAAAAGGAAAGGGAAATGGGGAATGGAGAGAAGTTTTCTAACCTTTAACCATTATTGCTGGGAATTTTATTTTTAAATCATAGATAGCTCAGTATGAATATACAAGATGTTCACTACAGTACTGTTTAAGTAAAAATAATTCAAATCCATAACAATCAGAGGTAAATTAGGATTTATTTATATGACAAGTTATCTAGCTGGTGAAAGACAATGTGATCATGACCTATAAACAACAGATAAAATGCTCCTTACAGTAAGGGGAAAACAGTAAGATTTAAAATGTTCTATCCAGAGGCTAAAGAGTTGGCTTGGTGGTTGATGTATGTACTGCTCTTCCAGAGAACCTGAGTTCATTTTCCAGTGCCAAGTTGGGTGGCTTAGAACAACCTGTATGTAATTCCAGCTCTGGGGACCTAACTTCCTCTTCTAGCCTCTGTGGACACCTGCACATACCCACACAGGGACATATAACTAAAAATAAAATCTTTAAAATATCCTATCCAATGTGATTGAAATGCAATATATAAAAATATATATGATTCATATATACCAGAGATACACATGCTGGCAAATAGGGTAGTTAAGATCATAGGCTTTGAGAACAAGCCAAGCTGATTCAAATCCCAGCTCAGCCACTTCCCAGCTGTGTAACCTTGAGTGAGACAGTTCATATCTCTGTGCCTCAGAAAGTCACTTGGAAGACAGGGACACCAGTACCTACCTTAGAGAGTTAAATGCTAATTAACACATTACTAATGACAAGATCTATGCATGGTGATGGAGCACCAGGTCTGGCACACTGCAAAGCTGGTGCCACAATCCCCATTAACCCCTACGATGAATGCAAAGGCCGAGGTCAAAATGCTAACAGGGATAATAACCTGGGGGAAGAATTCCAAGTCAGTTTCCTTTCTCCTCCGCCCTGGTAGTCTTTCTCTAAATCTCCTATAGTCTGCACAATATAGTCAGAAAGAAAATGCATCCTAAAAGAAACATCTGGTGACTTCTAGCATTGGCCACTCTTGAGGGTCGATAATGTAGGGAGAACAGTGTCAGCCAGAACATCCAGTGATGTCTTTCACTCCTTTTTTTTTTTTTTTCTTTGAGAGGGGTGGTTTGTGTTTTCTGCTTCTGTTTTAACTGTGTGTGTGTGTGTGTGTGTGTGTGTGTGTGTGTGTGTGTGCATGTGTGCACGCACACACAATGTATTTGTACATGCTCATGGCACAGTGTGTGTGTGGAAACCAAGAGACAACTTGTAAGAATCTGCTCTCTCCTCCCACTATAAGGGTTCTAGGTGAAGAGTCAGGTCACCACACTTGCCGGCAAGTACCTCAACCAACTGAGGAATTTCCCTTGCACTGTTTTTGTGTTCTTGAGATGGAGTCTCATATAATTTGAGCTAGCTTAGACCTCACTATGTAGCTAACTTGAACTTCTGATCTTCCTGCCTCAGTCTCCCAACTGCTGGTATTAGAAGCATGTGGTGCAACACCTGGTTCTTTCATCCCATTTCTACTGTGCTTCAATTCCCAGGGACACTCACTGCCCTCCTCTAGAAGAAGCCTGGCTTGTTGTGGAATATTAGATTAAGATGTGTTACATTCATTTATGCTATGGAATATCTATTTAATGATGCAAAGATGTGTTGCATTCTTTTATGTTGCATTTGTTTAACTCTGTGAAGCTGTGTTACTTTGCCTGCCTAAAACACCTGATTGGTCTAATAAAGAATTGAACAGCCAACAGCTAGGCAGGAGAAAGAAATAGGCATGGCAGCCTGTAGATTTTAGTTTATTGATACAAATTTAAAGTTTATTTCATTATACTTTATATAGCTGCCAGGCACAGAGAATAAGTAGGAGGAGAAATCTAGGCTTGAGAAAGAGAGCGAGGAGCTACAAAAGAATGAAGAGGAGGATGCCAGGGGCTAGCCACACCACCAGCCACAGAGTAAGAAGAGAAGAAAGTCATACAGAATTAAGAAAGGTAAAAAGCCCAGAGGCAAAATGCAGTTAAAGAGAAATGGGATAATTTAAGTTAGGAAAGCTGGCTAGAAACAAGCCAAGCTAAGGCCAGGCATTCATAAGTAAGAATAAGTCTCCATGTATTTATTTGGGAGGTGGGTGGCAGGCCCCAAAGAGTTTAAAAAAAAAAAAAACTACACTGGCTACTCACAGGCGCAGTTCCTTGGAAGCCATCCTCCCCGGTGTTGGTCACAGGAAACTCACCCTGCCAAATGTTGGCATAGTGCTGGCCTTTGGGCTTCAGCTTGTTGCCCCAGGGGAAAAGCCTAGCAGGAGAGACACAGGCATCAGCACGGTGCACAAGCTTCTGGACTGCAGTCAAGAGAAAGGATGCAATAGAAGAGAACAAACAATGCACATGTGTTCTGATGAACTTTTCCTTTAGAAGATATACTCACACATACAGCTTCGAGTCAGTTTTCTCAACATTTCCTTATAACAACTCACGTCAAGGACACAACAACTGCAGTCTCTCCTCACTAGTGAAAGGGCCTGAGATAAATGACATGACTGAAAGAAGCCTTCTAGAAATCTGAGAAACGAGGCATCATTCTGGACTTATATGGTAGCATGAGCAGGCACAGCACACCACACTTTAAAAAAAAAACATGTCTATTTTAAGGAGCTTTTCCTAGAAGATGTGACCCACACATGAGTTTTCTGTCTTATGGCTGTAGAAGCAGAGAAATAGCACTGCTTCAGAAGACAGCTAAAATAAGAAAATAATAAAAGCAGGGCAGCCTGCCAAGCGGCTCTGAAGAGGGATACACAAGAGGGGATGGATGCCTAGAACTACTCTGGGGCTGCAGAAAGCCCACTTGGCCCCATACCTGGCTTTAGGGACTGTAAAGAGCTGTTGACTCACTCACTAGTGTCACCAAAGGGCCTCACAAGGAAGAAGAAAAGCCAGCAAGAATAAGAGCTGTTATTAATCAACTTTCTGACCGCAGCAAGTTCCACGGAGCTGAAGAGAAGAGGAAAGAGGAGGTTGGGGGAGGAAGACGGGGTGGAAGAGAATGTCAGCATACTGCTGGACAATACAAGGCCTTCTGATATGAGTACCTGTTGTGCAGGCCTCCTCTACAGCTGTACTCCCACTCTGCCTCCGTGGGCAACCTCTTCCCTGCCCACGTGCAGTAGGCAATGGCGTCATTCCAGGAGACATGGAGAACCGGGTGATTTGGCCTAAGGAGGAGCAAGCACAGTTAAAAGAGACATGGACCTGAACAGAAAACAGGAACTAGATTCAGAAAGTGATCGTAGTCCCCCTCCATCTGGTCATGACTTCAAAGCCTAGCCATGATACATCTGTACTGTCCACTGGGGACTTTTGAAGTCTTAGACTCCCTAATGGGTCACAGCTCGTCTTGAAACTGCACTCAAGCATTTCTCAGCTCTGCAGCCTTGGATGCTCACAGATTCCACAGGGATGGTGGACACAGGGAAGCTCCACCCCACTAGTTTAGCACTAAATGTGCCATCTGAAGATGCTTCTGGCTCCCTTAGCATTCCGCAGAACAGTCAGGGGCATCTTAGGGACATTCTCCCCATCACAATAGGGCCCACAGAGACTCAGCTAAATAGGCTGTACACACCTCAGCGCTCCATGAGAATTGGGCCAGAACTTTGTTGGATGTAGTTTTGGCATCCACTCCCTTGCTCAAGTGTGGGTTGCTAACAGACATTCTACGTGACAAACTCTTACCTCAGCCTGTTTCCAGACACCTGACTTTAAATTTTGCATCTTTCTGCTATCCTACTAAGTAAGGATCAACCAGCACGATTAGCCTCACTCTAACACAGTGGTTCTCAACCTGTGGGTCGCAACCCCCCTGAGAGTCAAACAACCCTTTCACAGGGGTCACATATCAGATATCTAGCATATCAGATATTTATACTTAAATTCATAACAGTAACAAAATTACAATTATGAAGTATCAATGAAAATAATTTTATGGTTGGGGGTCATCAAAACATGAAGACTTAATATAGGGTCACAGCATTAGTAAGATTGAGAACCACTGTTCTAGCAGATCCCAAGTCAGCCTTTCCTGAGAGAATAGGGGAAGTCAATGGAACTGAAATCACCAGTCACTTTTTTTAAGTGAACTAGACTGGCCCACTCCACTCCTCATGTGTAACTGAATTCCTACCAGGACATTCATTAATTTTCTCAACAAATGTTCCTAAGTAGCTCAGCATCTAGTATATAAATTTAAAAATACATTCCAGTATGGGGGTGCAGCCCAATAGTAGAACTCAAGGCCTTGGGTTCAATTCTCAGCACCACAAACTGAAAATGCACCCTCCTTCAGGTTTTCTTCTTCTATTAGCCTGATGATCAACTTTGGATTTAGGAAAGAAGATACGAATTGGGAGCTAAGAAGTCCAGTTCTCCCCAGGTCCCCAAGGATCCCACAACTTTCTACCTCAGTGTCTATTTCTAGAGGAAGCCAGCTCAGACTGTGAAAAGTTTGCTATCTGTCAAGGGGCTGTCTCTGAAGTTGAACTTCATATACTCCCCACCCTCCTGACTATAAGGGCAATAATCCAAAATGTGGTTGAAAACGAAGGCCTAAAACGCCATCTGAAGAATGGGGTTAGGAGAGCACGGTTCCCGGACTGTTGGGAAGCTGAGGCATAATCGAAACCCCTCTTCATCTCCAGGGTTTAACATGTGTTTCTATTTTTGCTTAAGATAATTACCTCCTTGTCACCCTAGAGACCTGCTGACCGACTTGCCACTCTGGGTTTTTTTTTTTTTTTAGTCAGATTGTGGCTTCTAAGTATGTCATTGCAGGACTAAAGAGCACACGGATCCTATACTCAAGGCCACCCAGCAGTATACACAACTACTTATCCATAAGACAGTTCTTCTCCCACATAAAGACTCATTCATGGGTAGACTGTTTTGAGTAAACATGTCATGAGATTTGTGACGGCCTGTACAAAGGGAAGAAATCTGTGAGGAGGCACTCTGTCAAGACAAATGAAGCAAGAAAGAGGTCATTTATTCAAAGCCTTCTGTAACTAGACACAGTGGCTAGGTCTTTACATACATTATTTCCTACCAACCACTTTCCTCCCCAGGAGTGGCTGGCCACTCTTACCATTCACTTTACGTATGAAGATAGCTGCTGAGTTCTGCAAGAGCACAAGAATTTTTTCTTTTTTAATGAACCACATCAACTGGGCATGACCAGACTCACCTGTGCAGAATACTGGAGTCTGGGCCCTCTGGGTGCCTCCAGTTAGCGCCTTTGACAGGTAACCACCATGGAGCAGCTGCAACCTCAAAGCAACCGAGAACAGGCCCTGTCAGCTACCGTAACTCCAGAAAAACACTGAACTTACATGCATAGCCTAAAAATCTCACTTAGAGTCATGATGTCTATTTGGGTTCAAAAACATAGCCTTTACAGAATATCAGGACAATAATCTTACATGTAAATACATCTTTAAACAAAAAAACTATTAATTCATACCATAAGGCACAAGTGTCTCAACAGATGGATGTGTATGTTAAGTGTTGCATAGCTCCAGGAATTTAAGGTTGCCCTGCCCAATAATTCTCTATAATCTGTGACAAGTGGGAGCATGGTACATCTCCCTCTTAAAAGATGGGGAGGTTCTGGGCCACCAGCTGGGGCTGTGTTGGTGTCCGAAGGCCACACTGCCACTGCAGCCATACCAATCAGAGCCGTTTGGCCAAGGTGACATCCAAGCCCGGGAAGCTGATGAGGACCAACCATGTCTAGGTCCATGGTCCTACCACAGCTAGGGGTCTATGTTGATGTCTGTGGTCCATGGTGCCACCAAAGGCCACACGGATGCCCAGAGTCTAGGCCATAACTTATGGCCATGTTGGCACTGGAGGGCCATGTTGGCATGAGGGCCACACCAATGAGTGATCCCTGCTGCCAACTGGGGCCATGGGTATCGTTTGGGCCATGGCTGCTGCCAAGGGCCATTTCTGGGTCCATGGACCTACCACAGCCCCAGGGTCTCTGATGTCTTGCCCATGGTGCCACCAAAGGCCACATGGATGCCCAGGGTATAGGCCACATCCTGTGGCCATGTTGGTGTCTGAAGGCTGTGCTATAGCTGGGGCCATGGTGTCGTCTGGGCCAGGGCTGCTGCCAAGGACCATGTCTGGGTCTGTAGTCTTACTGCAGCCAGGGTCTGTGTTGACATCTGTGGCTCCTAATACCATCAAAGGCAATGCCAATGCCAGGGGTCTGGGCCACCATCTGGGGCCATGTTGGTGTCTGAGGGCCTTGCTGCCACCAGGGCCATGCCAATCTGAGTGGCCTGTGCTGCCACCTGGGGCCATGGTGACATCCAAGCCCGGGCAGCTGACAAGGACCATGTCTGGGTTTCTGGTTCTACCATAGCCAGGTTCTATGTTGATGTCCATGGCCCATGGAACCACCAAAGGCCACACGGATACCTAAGATCTGGACTACAACCTGTGGCCATGTTGCAGCCAGGACCACACCAATCTGAGTGGCCCCTGCTGCCACCTGGGGCCATGGGTGTCACCATGGGGCTGGGCTTGGGCTACTGCAATGGGCCATGTCTGGGTCCATGGCCCAACAGCAGCCAGGGTCTGGGCTGATGTCCATAGCTCATGTTACCACAGGGGGTCATAGGAACCATGTGTGTTAAAATCCGAAGGCCTTGATGAGCCAGCCCTGTCCCTCACTGGCCCTAAGACACTGCAGCAGGAGAGCTGGGTCCCTCCCCACATGGTAGAGTTGATCCCTGCACTCAGGAGAGATGGCCCTACTCCTCACCACAGGCATGGGAGAGCTGGCCCTAATGGCATGGGCCTAGGAGAGCTAGCTCTGCTTCTCGCCTGAGGGGGCAGTCCCAGTGGCCCAGACTGACCAGCTCAGCTACCACCCAGACCCACATCCTAGGTCTTAGGCTGACATACCCTAACAACTGTCCTATCTATGACCTGCTGGAGTGCACAAAGTGACTGGTCCTGCAGAAGGGTAGCCTCGGGATCTCCATGTCTCAGGGCAGGATATCTGAGAGGGTTTCAGTGAGGGCTCAGTGGTGTGCCAGAGGCCTTGAACCAGACCAATGACTCATTGCAACGAACATTTTGCAGGTGGAGCTGACTGGACAAAAGGGTACACTGAGTGACATACTACAGCTCCCGATGCCACCAGGATGAATGAAGAGGTGTTGGAAAGATGGAGGAATGAGGTGCGTTTTTGTTTTGTTTTTAATTAACTTTGGGGGAGGCATGCTACAGGGGTGCAGGGCAGATATGGAAGGACTAAGAGGTGAGTGGGATTGCAGTGCATGATGTGAATTTCCAAAGAGTCAATAAAAATATCTTTATATATATAAAGAAAGATGGGGAAAGAGTTAATCTTCACGTTAAACATGAGGTTGAAGATAATCCAAAATGACCAAAAATCAAGTGGAAACACACAGGGAAAAACAATGAACTCTATTTAAAAGATCATGGTTCAACCTGCAGCCCGACATCAGCTGGGTAAGTTAATGATGATTCCTGACAGCCTTCATCTGTGAAACCGGATCAAGATCCAGCCACAACTAACGCAGACAGCAAAGGAGGCCAAATCAGGTAAGATTGCAAAGCACTGAGGAAATCATTACTAGAACCTTAACAACCTTTTTACTGTTCTATTAATCATGTTCACCAGAGTAATGAAAGTGAGGAGGGGTCCCCACTGAGTGACTAGTTAGGACCTAAAGCTTTGATGCCAATCAAAATTAGCTTTGAATTATGGCTCTGCTATTTACAGTATTTAACCTCTCCAGGCCTGCTTGCTTATTTGTAAATACAGTCAGCAACTCTTTTAGAGTGAAGAATTATAGCAAAATGGGCTTAAGGCTCTGTGCTTAGCAACTTAGGGTAATGAATGAGCAAGCAGTGGGGAAAGGGATCCAGTCTCACTGGGCAGGGCCCTATGACAAGCAGTTACAAGGAGAGCCATATAAATCAATCATTACTGCTAACAGTGAAGACCAGAAACTTAGGAATGATTCTTCTAACAAACTAGAGCAGACTCATGTTTAGCCCCATGACACTCCTATTCTCAACATACTGCATCCCTGTGAGCTTGGTGGGGTGGAAGTGACAGGAACTGTGTCCCTGCTAACAGTGAAAGCTGTCACTGTGAACATCAAGACTACTCTCATTCATTTTTTTTTTCACATTAGTACAATCAAAACATTTAAGGTATCTCCACAACAATCTGATGAAAAAAGACATTTACTTTAAACACTGTAAAAGAAAAGGCATTTTGTCCTTCAACACAACTGCAAGGCATTCAATTTTGCAGCTCAGGAGCTGAAAGCATGGCTTCCTTCTGCTTCATCTGCAGCTAATCTAGGACTGTTCTGTGTGGTGCCAGTGACAGGCAATTCACTTCACGTCAAGGGACGATGTGCACAGAAAGCTCAGGTCATCTCACTCTTGGATTTCAGGAAGGTAATCACATGACTCAACCTGCCCAACTCTACTCCGAGCACAAAGCTCTGCTAATGGAAGCCTCCAGCTCTTAAATTAAAAAAAGAAAAAACAAAATATATCAAATCTGGGTGGTGGATACTGGGACACCTTTGTTTTTTCTCATGCCATTTTGTATTTTGAAGTATTTCCTTCACCTTTAGCAATGAAAAAAAAATACAGAATCTGTTTTTATCCATTCTGCCTACTAATGGGCATTTAGGCATTTCCAGTTTGGAGCTATAATAAACAGTCATTGGAATATTCTTCAAAGAGCTTGTGGCTTTGGGTAATACCCACTTCTGCGCACTGTACATTGTGGAAAAGGCTGCAGGTTATACATACCCCAGCTTTAGAAGAGACAGCAAATGCAATGTTAGGAGAAGAAGCTCCCCAAGGTCCCCAACCATTCTTCCAAGGAGACTATCCATGGAGTTGGGTTCTCCACAGGATTCTCAAGGGCTACAGCAGCAGTGGCCTGCCCGTCCTTTCATTAGCCCTAGCTTTTCCTGGTATTCAACTGGCTACAGATACTGACAGCAGACCCACTAAGTGACAGGCACCAAGCCTAATTTCCAGAGAGGATCTCCAAGTTTCAGTGAGGCAAGACAGAACAACAGGAAAGAGTAAAAAGATGTGAGAAGGCAAAGAAGTCTCCTTGCCTTGGAATCTACTTTGCCCTTCTTGCTGAGTCAAAAACAAAAGACAAACAAACAAAAAAAACCACAACCGATACTGGCAAAACTGCCTCGAGGGCCAACACAGGTTCTAAAGATATGGCACAGATGCTAAAAGCTACCAATGAACCCTGCTTACCTGGGGCCAGAACCATTGTAACCTTGAGTTTACCATATTAGCACTCCTTTCTCGTGCCTGCATCTATGCTGTAAACCTGATTAAAAAAAAAAAAAAAAAGAAAAAAAAAACCACCCTACATTTTAAAAAGAAAAGTCTTTAAGAAAAACTGAGTAAACCAACTCATACATTTTTATTTGGATTTTGAGTTTTGCTTAAACTTTGTTATAAATTACTTCTGCTGTGGAATGTAACTTAGAAAACACCTCAGGCTGGTGGCCGAGTTGGTACACTACTGTCACCAGGAATTGTCAGAGTACAGTTTAAGATAGTTGGTATATTGACAGGTTTTTAAAATTATTTATTTTAGCCAGGCGGTGGTGGCACACACCTTTAATCCCAGCACTCGGGAGGCAGAGGCAAGCGGATCTCTGTGAGTTCAAGGCCAGCCTGGTCTACAGAGTGAGTTCCAGGACAGGCTCCAAAGCTACATAGAGAAACCTTGTCTTGAAAAAACAAAAAGAAAACAAAAAACAAAAAAATATTTATTTTATACATAATAATTAGTTCACTACAAAATGAGGGACAAAGTGTAAACCTAGTCACCTCATTTTCTCTCCAGTATGCTTCTGAAACTCAAACTCACATCCAGATATACACATATCAGTAGCACGGTTCCTGACTTCCCTTCCCACTTTCTTTCTCTGCTTTTGACTTTTTTCTTTTCTTCGATTTTACAATACTCTAGCACACCACCCAAAATGAACAAGTTTCAAGGTCCTGGAGCTATACAATGATCAGCTTCACTAATGTCCACAGAGAAACAAAGAACCCATCATGCAGGGCATAAGGAGGGAACACTGTGACCACAAGTCTTTGATCAAAGACCACAGACTCCTGTTTAACCCAAAACGGCAAGATCTGAATGCAAAGATATTTGCAGACTATACAGAATACAAGCAAAAAATACACAGTTACATGCGAACTCACAGAACCCTGCTTCTAAATAAAAACTACAAAACTACCCTACACTTACTTATCAAAACTTACCTAAACTAGAAATAGATTATGTATTGTTATAAAAGGAACCTATAGAGTGTAGGTCTGACTTTGTTTCCATAAAATATTTGCATAAAAATGTATGTTGGTATAGCTAGAAGTAATTTAAAAAAAAAACTCCAGGAAAATATACATACACTTAACAGGGTGAAGGACTGGAAGAGTTGTACACGGTTTTAGAATAAGCATGCATCATAAAACACGCTTTATCAGCCTTGGCACTCTGGATATTCTCTAGGCCATATAATTAATTCCATCTTGGTTAGGGCCTCCTGTGTGAGGTAGAATGTGTGACAGCATTTCTGTCCTCTACCCACTACACACCAGCTACATATCAACTGTAGGGGGGCTGGGGGAGAATCAAGACATTGTCACATGTTCCCCCAAAGAGCAAACTGTCCACCGCAGCAACAACCAGGAAAAGCATTAGTCATTTGAAGTGTTAATATATACTTCACACTGGCACAGCGATAGGGGCACCTGACTCCATCTAGCAGGTACAAGCTACCTGAGTTTGAAAACAGCACTACATGCTATAAGACATAAGCGCTCAAACTCTCTACCCTCTCCAGGCCCTGGTTTACTCATTTGTGAAGTGGAGATAAAAATCCCCTGTGTTTCCCACAGTTGGCATAAGGATTATATAACAAAATACATAAACAAGCACTAGGATACGGAGTAAAAAATCACCCACGTGTCAATTACTAGTCTTACTATTATTTACTCATGTTAATGCATGTTACAAAATCATCTTAAATCATCTTCCATAGAGCACATATTCCAATTAGTAAAAACCTACTCTCCAGTCTGTGCCTCATTCACCCATCAGATCACCTCTTCAGAATACTCACAGGCTGTGGGAAGTGCCCAAGGGCTATAAAGTCAAGGAACAGCATGTGTTGTATGGAAATATTCTCAAGAAGAGTATGTAATGACATTCTTTCATCACAGG